GGTTTCTTCATGCCAAGAAATGATTCACGAAGCAAAAAGATAGTCTTTTCAAGATTGCTTTCTTGGAAATATCGAGAGAGAGAGAGAGAGAGAGAGAGAGAGACTGTGCAACAGAGTACAAGTGCTTCTGTTCAGCTGTAGCACCTTTCCGGTGCCTAACTGCCATACCACCAGAAGGAAGCACAAGGGCTGAGATACTGTCAGATTGTCCAAGCCTAGACAGGGGAAGTCCAGAGGTTGGACTTTCCGCTCAGCCATCTCGGATGAATAATGGGATTAATGTTGTCATAATCATCGAAAATTTCTGCGTTCCGTTTGTTTAACTTCAAAAGAGTAGCCGCTAGTGTGGATTAGGAATATAATCAGGCTCTACGTTCTGGAATATCACCAAACGTTTTTCATGAAGGAAAAAGTCGTATAGCTGTCTGATTTACTCAAACGTGCTTGCTGACTAGAACGGGAAAGAACGGAGCAGTGTGGTGGATGGGGATCAATAAGGGTTTCGATACGAGGGCAGTAGAATGTTAACCCGCGGTTAGAAATATAGCAGCCCTTCCACATTATTTATCAACTGCACAACTTCATCCGTTTGCCACTTGCTTGTGTCAGCACAAACGATCGAGTGCTACGAAGGTATGGCTTCAGTTACGCAACATGTTGACTTCACTGTCTGCGTTTCTCGATGGATCGAAGTTCATCAAAGAGCTGTATGGATCAGAAATTTTATGAACGGGTCGGCTCTTATTTACCTCCGTAAGCATCGTTGTTCACATGCAAAGCTAGTTCTGAGATTGAGGTTGTGAAGTATTCGCACTTTGTTCGTGCCTTTGTGAAATAATGCTGAGCGATCAATCCGAGTCGTTCCCCTGCTCCAGTCGACTGATATGTTCCTGAAGACAGCCAAAACTGATCAACCAACCCGATGACTTGGTAAAAATGAAGACATTGGAGAGCCACTACGGTTGCGCACGATGGATGCTTAGAGATTAGTGTGCATACGGCGGTGTAAAACACCAGACCTGTTTGCGCAAGCACATGACAGAGAGAGCATCCCATACATGACGAGCGACTATGAACTAGGATGTTCAAAACATATTCCAACGGACGGACGAGCGAGTGATAATAAGTCGGTCGATCCAGTCAATCGTTGAAGCGAGGAAGTTTCTTGGTGCGACGCAAGTCCCCCAAAGAAGCGTGTCTATATTGGAATATCACCTCATCCGGCAAAGCCTCTAGAGTTGCCAACAGATCGAGTCCTAACAGGTGAGGCTGAAGGAATCCTAAATTAATAGGAGGATCGGCGAAGTACACGAATCGTACCACAGAACACTTTAGAACTAAGGCCACATGTACAGAAAGCCACAAAAAGTGCTACATCTTTCTAATAATACAACTGAACGGAGCATTGCGAACGTGCTTTGTTCATGAATAAAGTTATCTAATCACCTAACACAGCCAGGGTACACTACCCCAGGTTGGTCTGGATCAAGTCGCACGGGTCAACCCACACTGACGAACGAGCGCATTCGAATAGGCTGATCCTTTAAGACAGTTAGTAAAGCTGAAAAACAAGGTCTATTTGGTATTACCCGTGATTTCATCCATACTGACTTGGGCTAGCCGACCTGAGTAGGTGAACACATTGACACTTGATGCATGTGTGTAGTTTTCCACCAGATGAACCAATCCAGCAGCTGTCCTGGTTGTCTAGGCCAATGAAATGCCTTCCAGGAGTTCCCAACCACAGAACACCAGAAGCATTCATCTGATAAGTCCCGGTTGCTTTAGGATTTTGTTGAAATTACAGGCAAATAAATCTTGTGTGAACTGTCTTCATCTGTTCCTGACAAATACTTTTGTTGTTCAGAGCAAAACAGAAGCAACGATACTCACCTATTCAGACTTGGGAACATGTGATAAACACTCGCCGAAAAACGGAAAGACAGGGCTCTAGTTCACACTTGTATGCATGAGACAACCTTTCATTTTGGAAGTACAATAGGGCTGACGGTGATGTTCTGTAGGACAAGTGTCCGAGACGAGAAGTACGGGTAAAACATACAAGCCAACCTCACCTTAAAGTAGGCATCCCGAGAGTGCGCAACTGGATTGTACGAAGTGAATGACAGTGACGGGTGCGAATCCGCCTTGACATGATCCAACGGCGGTTGTCGTTGACCCGTTGATGGTACAGTAGCATTTCTAGTGTTGGATACACCCAAGTCGAACGATCGTTGCGCTCCGATTCGTTGTGCTGTGATTGGGGGTCGAAGCCGGTCAAGATCTGCATTCGCCCAGCAAGATGTTGTCGAGTGATGGCGGCCAGGATGAGAATACAGCTGCTGTTGTTGCGGATGGTGACGACAACTGTCCGCAGTTGTCGGGGATAAAACTGGAGTAAATGGCCTGGTGGTGACTGCTGTCGCAGTGTGGGAATAGGTGGAAAGAGAACGAGCATGATTCGAATAGTCCGTCGGCGGATGGTCATAACAAATATGTTCATCGGTTGACGGAGAGGAAAGATTGGAGGCAACTTCGGAACTCGAATGGGATGGAGTATGCAGCTGAGCACCACGTACTGCACATAAGTAACACAGGTTCGATGGGGTATGCAGGCGACAAGAGGGGGTGAATGTCTGATCCATCTGGCGCTGTGCCATACCGCGTGGCGGTAAGGGTTGCCGGACACATGCCCAACAAGGGGGATACGCAAACAGAGCGCCGGTGGGTGATGGAGTTGGAGAGTTTGAAAAAGTATGCACCACAGCTGCTGACGACTCCTGACACGTGTTGCTGCTTGAAGAGGATGCTGTCGGTCTACGACCGCTACCAGCTAGCATTCCGAGAAAAGGGGAATGAGGATCCTGGTCGGGATGGAAAGAAAGAGTGTAAATTTAACAATTTGCGTCCACAATGCAGACTAAGATTTAGTGAAAGCAAATAATGACGCTCAAAGCACCGAAATTTACTCCAGAGTAACGACGACGATATTCTGGATCAGCGTCACGAACTGTGCTCTCCGGCTGGAACAAAATTTTGTAACGGCTTCACCATGGCTGATGTTTCCAGAATGATCTGTTTTCCCCATGACTCATGTGCCCTAGGAGAGTACAAGTACGTATGAAATACAATTTCACTCTCTACTGATGCTTTAACAGGGTACATAACAACGTGCAATGACGCCATGATGATGAGATGGCCATTGTCAGTACGTGCAAAGCTCACGTTGGAGCATCCGACCAAAAAGGTTTACGTGAACCAAAAAGTAAGAAAAGGTATATAACTGTATAGTTCATTGTCGAAAAACCGAAGTGACTAATACGGTGCAGAGAGTGAACAGCGCATACGAACGAACGACTCACTCCAAACTCCGCCTGATGGTCAATTCTCGAGTCACCGGACAACTCGGCGAGAACTGCTGGTTGGCGGCAGCGCACACACAAGTACACATTGGGTTGACCAAGCCGATCCACACTTTGAATTCGCAACCGAGAATCAAAGGCCGAAGTTCCGAAGGGGGGTCGCGAACTGGAAGCAGATAGTTTGGACGCGGCGCACTTGTTACCGAATCTCGGGTGAAATAGTCCTCCAGGACGAACAGGCTGTCTCTGGGGGTTCCTATGAAAGCGTTGGCGCATTTGTGAAGATGTGTGTTCTTCATTGGCTATGATGGAGCCAGTGGTGAAGTTTTTAAAATCGGTGGTGCCAACACTGTCTGAATTGGACGTAGCGAAGGAAGCGCCCGGGGTTCGGCCGCTGTCCTGCATTCCTGCTAAGTCCGCTTCCAAATGCGGCAGATAGGATATGGACACGGCGAGACGGAATGCAGACCATAACGCGGTCTCAACGGAGTTTCTGATACAGCGTTTGGAGTCGTCTTCTGTAGGTGGGCAACCTTGTTCGAACGAGGGAGGGGGGCGATTGGTGATCGTCGAAAGAGTCGGGGGATCCAACGATGAAAGCATACGGACCAACTCATCAGTTGCTGTAAGCACATTTCGATGAATACACCGGCACGATTGGGGCTCCCCAGGGAAACACGTAGCGCTCTGGTTCACCAAGTTACTCGAAAGAATGGGTCTGGGAAATGGAAAATTGATAACAACTAGAGTCTCAAGTTAAAATTTCGTCATTCAATCAACACCAATGTTATTCATAGTAGGCAAGTTGAAGACAACCGCAACTTTGAGTTGTCTAAAATAAATTGAAAATGAGTGGATGATTTTTGCATGTCGGAACAAGTCAAAAATCCCGTTTAGAACACCTAAAGTTCCTTTGGGAGACTGAACAGGCTAAAACTCAAAGTTTACGTTCCAAGCTACGTCAGTCAAGGGCAGAAGGCTTAGATTGAATTTGAAAAGCCAGACCAAATTTATCGGAAACAGATGACTGTGATGATAACAGTACATCTCCAGGTAGTGGGAAAGCATTCTCAGACCATGCGCGATAACCCCGCAAAATACTTCATGCGGATCCCGGCGATCCACTCATTCATAAAACTACCTTCCTAATCTTGTGAATGCTTATTCGAAGTAACAGTTCTTATGATCTGTGCTCAAATTGCCCGTTCACTCAATTCGAATTCCAACAAACTTTGCTGACCGAATGTGGTATGCCGTTAGCTTAATCATAATTTTATTGAGAAATACACTTGTGTGCAAATCAACTTAACTAAATATCTCGTTTATGATATTATACAACTGAATGTGGTATTTAGCTTAATCATAATTTTATTGAGAAATACACTTGTGTGCAAATCAACTTAACTAAATATCTAGTTTATGATATTATACATACAAATGTGCTGCACACAGATCACCTCATGTTTCAGTTGGCACGATATTCGAGAAATCACAGTATATTTTATTATGATACGACTTGGGTTGAAGTAGAACATGAGGTTCAAGTAGAACCCGGGGACTGCGACTACCTGATGAGCCCCAAGAGGGACGAAACCGGTCGTGGGCTGTCGAAGAGTTTTCAGTGACCTTATGAGTAGTGTCCTTTAAGATCATAATTTTATTGCTTTTTCCAGGTTATTCGCTCGTCATCACTCGAGTAACCAGTTAACATGAATTGGCATGAATTGCGTGACTGAAGGATGAGTGGCGAAGTGCGAGTTGCTTGCACTACTGATCACCTACTATTGGTCTAGTGGAACACTGATCAACCGCTAACCCAGTGTTCCAGAGCTCGAATCGTCTTGTAGATTGGTGAGATGGGTACTGATGATGAATCTCAACGAGAATGAAGCTTTCTATAGAGGAAAATGTTGGTAGATTAGGTAGCGTGGATAGTCGTTGGTTGTTCGCTGAGCTGGACAAAGCTGGGATGAAGCTATACGACGGAGCCCGCCTTTCCGCCGTAGACCGGCTTCACTTGGACAATAAAATTAGGGTTGGTTTGTTTGAATTTTCCAACACTTCGACGAAGCTGCGATGTACAATCTACCTGAAGAAAAGTCCCTTCCATGTGTGATGGTGCTTGATGGGATGGACAATGAGACGCTCGGCAGCCACTCCAAAGAATCACATTTTTTAGTGAAAATAATGGTAAGACACATGAAACGCATTGCTCACAGTTACTCGATTCGGAGGAACGTCGGATCAATCCCATCCATACGATGGGTAGGAATCACAGAAGTGCAGTCAAGTTACAACTTGATAAATTAGGCCTAATATGCTTGGATGCGTCGTCGACTAACTGGATGTGGACTCGGAATAAGACATAGAGATGTACCTAGAGAACGAAGTGGTAAACCAGCCCATGCGCAGAAGCCTGGCGACTGTGGACTGTCGCCAAAGGAGTTGAGATTCTCAAGCATGTGGAATCCACTAGCCGCTGGTAAGCCAATTGAAACACAGAACCCCCACGAAGGTTTGTTTCTGAAGCCAACAGTAGGTCCCGATTTAAAGCTGCCATCCTGTGGTGGTCAGCCTTCCGTGCTGCAATGATCCTACGGGGTATACTGGCTGGAACTCAGTTCCTAAAGGTTCAACCATGCCAGGTGGTCTGGAGGTAAAGTCGTACGGCCCTCTGCAATAGGAGTGCGAAGGCAGTAAGGCATTTCCCCCAGGCGACCAGCACGTCCATATACATGGGAGCAGCGATGCTCCTTTCCCTCGAGGAAGGAAGGGTTAGAAAATGTCGGCCACAAAAAAGCACACTCGGTGGCTCCAGAATTGACAGTGGTCACCAACGGGTTATTTAATACGGTCAAAATACTTTTAAACCCAGTGTTTGGTGCTGATCAGAAGGCATCTGCTGTGCGCAGCNCGAGGAGACGGGAATGCCTTAATCCCTTCGCGCTCTGGCCACGCCGGCCCCGTGCACCCAAGTGGGTCAGGTTATTGAGTCACTAGCTCAAAGAAACGACCACAGTTCCGTGGTCTAGACTCTCGAGTGAGAGGCTAGGAGGAGAGAAAGAAACCTTACACCCTCCCACTGCAATTCAATTCAACTTTCACTTTATCAGCCGTGAACAGTGTGCCATAGGCACATTGGTTCAAGCGGCTACGGTTTCTTTCACCAGAATACGGAGAGTGTGGGACATTGGAAGAGATGGAGACGATGGAATGTTCATTTAGTACGAGAATCGAGTGCCTACGCGTCGAAGGCGATGGTTTTTATGCACCAGATCCACGAACTTCATGACTGAGCCATTTCTGTCAGTGTCATTAACCATTGGTGAGTTGAGTACTGGGTCCCCATCCAGGGAACAGGCAGTTGCCGACCCGACTAAATTTACTGGTCAGTGTTTTCGTACTTTGTTGCCAGGTCATCATCATTATCATCATCATCATCACCATCATCATCATCATCATCATCATCATCATCTTATTCGCCCTGCTGTATGCAGCAAGTAAAGCGACCCGGCTGATGGCACCACGCGACGGCCGATGTGGCATGAGTTTATTTGTGTATGTACAGTTCATGGTTGTACGTGGGCTGGGATACTGCCAGGGCGCGCACACCTAGACAGGAGGACGATTAGGGTCCTCAACCAGAGCCTTTGAGTCAAACGCCTAACCTGGAGGGCCAGGAGACTGTGTTCGTCAGACGTCTAACCATTGAAAAACCTGGTATGAGAGACTCTGTGAGTGTCGCGGGACACTCTCCAGTATAGCTCAATGGATCGCTGGGGTGCGCAAACCTTCACACCACGGTAGAGTCCAGTGTCTTCGTGACGGTTACTACACCCGACTTTCTTGCCGACCGAAGCAGTCGTGGCAGATCTTGATAAAAATCGTCTTTCTCATTCTCAGAACTGCTATCCGTTGGGGCCTATGCTGACACCACAAACAAACACTGTTTGCCGCATCGACCTGCGTTAGTTTTAATTGAGCCAGACGACCGCATAGCGCAAAGGTGACTGCTTACTGGGATCCAGTCCAGTAAGACGGTTTCAGCCTTGGGGCTGAGTGCAACTCCCGCACCGCAGATACTACGAGACATTGCGTCAGGATCACCGGATGCCCGGAGAGTGAAATGTGGAACATCTGGGCTCATCCCAGACGGTCTGAGGAGTACGACCGAAGTGGGTTCTTGTATGCGTGTTTCGAAGACACAACATACATCGATAGAGAGGGAAAGCAAGGTTTCAGCAAGGGAAGCATGTTGCCCAATCTGACATAGAGTGCGGACATTAAAGGCTGAAACGTGGATCAGACCTTTTGAGGTTAGTAAGTGATTATTTTGGTTTATTTTTGTGGGCGATGGTTGAGACACGGAACAGTGGCTAGGAAACTTAGTCGGGTCGGCAACTGCCTCCTCCCTGGATGGGGACCCCAGTACTTAACTTACCAATGGCCAATGTCTCAATCGTGAAGTTAGTGGCTCTGGTGCCTGGCTGTGCTCGCCTTCAATGCGTAGCTACTCAATTCTCGTACTAAGTGAACATTCCATCGTCTCCATCTCTTCCAATGTCCCACACTCTCCGTATTCCGGTGAAAGGGACTGTAGCATCTGGAACCAACATGCCTATCGTACGAGTTAAAAATGATAAACTGACTGATCTGATTGCAAACAATACTTCTCAAAAACCGATAACCCGTATGATTGGACAATGTCGTAAACCTGTTGAAAGTGCTCTCTTCCTTGGCGAGCGCAAGTCTGAAGCCACAGGATCGCAAACTGCAGCTACAGGTAGCATCAAATGACAGCTCAAAAAGCCGGTCTGCTAGTTTACCCGAGATAAAACTGGATATTTATATATTGGAAAGTTCACAAAATAGTAACCAATAGTCTGTGGAATTATTGGTTTTGTTGAATGCCACCAGGATATTTGTCATGCATCCTAATGAACAAGACACCGGTTTTCAAATGAAAGTAAAAAAGCGCATGCTATCGTTAAGTTGAAGATGATTTCCGGAACGAACAGCTCTTATCTATTCAGTCCTTTGGCACAATTTTAACGAAACACACATAGTCACCATAGCATACATCGACCTCCTGTCACATTCTATTTCTGATACTCGTATCTTCCGAAAGAAAGGTAAAACTGTAGGCAATACTCATAGCTGTTGGGATTTTTATCGACAGTGCTAATCAGAACGAACCTATACATTAGTGATTGGGACATCCTTCTAAGACTAATCGGATTAAGACTAGGTTCGATAGGCCTATCTAACAGCTTACATATGTCTGTTTACGTAGAGACGTCTTTCAATGTGAATTTCCAGGGCAGAATGACTTTCTTGCTCGGTGGTCGCACTTTTATGAATACCACTTTAAAGTTCATCGACATTAATTGGCGCCTTCACTCGTCAACGTTCGATGCCGACTTCGAGGGCCTTAGTCTAGACTATGGTGCAAAAAGTTTCAAGCTACGTTGTTCGGGTCGCTCTCTTTCAAGTAACTTGTCTTGGAGGCAACCTGTAGCTCGTAAATGACATATTTTTGAAAATGGAAGGCCTTTTTATCTCCGCGTAGTATCAAAGACAAAACCATGGCGGAGGGACGAAGTTGCCCTGCTAAAACAGTTAGAGAAGACTGCCCACAGTTTCTGTGGACCAACGGGAAAGAAACATACCCAGAGGCCGAACGGCGTCGATCAGACGAATCTAATCTGTTGGAACCACTCGCTGGTTGAAGGTCATGGTCAACCTGAAGCGCAACGGATCGACCAATAGTCGCAGCCCGACGAGTATGTAAGGAACTTCGATTGTCGATCACGCGAGGTTGAGTTTTAGCATTCCACAAGTCAACAGAACCACGTGTGGCCCCAACAGGTGAGTCCACTTCTGACCCGGACACTGGAGTGAAAAAGTTGCTGTATCCACAGGATCGAGAGCTAGTTCGAGAAAATATATCCCCGGGATCTACAGATAAAATAAATGGGAGCCTGGGTACCACCAGAACGATAAGAGGGAGAGAAAAACAAATCCAGCGAACGATCTGTACACAGGGGTCTGATACCCGACATATCACTTACCGGCACCAACGGTCGTACCGGTGATAACAGTCGGTGAAACTTTGCGTAAGGTCTTTGGCGCGGCCCGGTATGCCTTCGGGAGTGGTTTGCGTACGCTGAAGAGATGGTCTACAGAAGGTTGAGAACGTGAAGTGGGGTTTTTTAAAGAGTGTGTTCCAGCACGTTCTGAACCACCAGACCACTGGTGGCTCATGTGCCGATCGATTGTGGGAGCATCGACCGAAGGGGAGTCGCGGTTTGGTGGTCTGTACGGTTGTGTCAGCGTGTGAGGTTGATCCGTGGGCGTGGTTTGGTGGAGATCATTTGGACAGGGGTGTTTTTTGGACCCAACTGGGAGGTCACAGAGCTGTTGCAAACGATCACGAGTGATGGCTTCGTAATTGTTTGACTGAAGTACACCTAATGGAAAGAGAACACAAACGTTTACGATATTGGGCAACTTGTCTCAAGACCAAACTTGAGAGGAACAAAACCAGAAACGTGGGCTTAGAGAATTAGGACGGAATCAGCATCATCATTATCACGGACAGTTGCGAAATGGAATAGTCGTTTACGAGGAATCACGGCATGGAAGCGTCGCTGTCTTCGGACAGATTCCTTGAATGCACGCATTCATCGATAACTTCCACGCATATAAGTTGCAGCTATTGGAACACTAACATCCTGCGGAATTCTGCTAAGCAGGACATTTGTTTTAGCGAATCACATCACAAGAGTCTATTCGCAACCGTATTAAACCTCCAATGACTGCTGCGCTAACTCAAATAACGTCTAACTATGAAGTCTAAGTTCAGGTGGCTGCATGAATGGGAAATTAGATTACTAGATTAACCACCCTGATACTGTTCACAATAGACAGCTTAGCCTTCACAATATGTAAACCCATTGGTTCGAGAGAAAATGTAAAATATACTTTTAACATGAGTCGTACTTCCCACAAGTCCCGTTACAGTTTACATGGTGACGCTGCTTTTTGGATTAAATGCACGCGAGGCGCTCATCATGCGGCGGATAAAAATGCCGCATCCATTCCAAAGGACATTTCTTAGAAGACATTTTTAGTTGGTTCCTCGATGCCTATTTCAATAGTGAACTTACTCTCAGAGAGGACTGCATGAGAGGGGTGGTGCATTTGGTCGATCGAGGCACCGACAAGGGTACCGAGCTACTTACATGCAAACAGTAGTCTACGTTAGTATGTATTCCGTAGGGTGTGTTGTCTCCTGCAAAAACTGTGGAGAAAGCTCATCGGTCCAAAAGTAAGAGATACGAGTGTGACGGAACGCAATTTCCTTCATGTAGACGAGGATACTCAGACTGGGATGTGGCATGCAGCCCAAAATACGATTCGCAAACTGAGTCACTCACTTCACTTTTGGATTAGTGACACGTGTCAACATCAAAGCCGTGGTTGACCACAGGTGGTAGATGACAAGAGATTCTGTTGAATAAGTGTGATGAGTTCGTACGAAACACCTTCCAATGCCCCTACTTACGAGCTTCTGATTCGCTTCTCCAGGGATAACAATATATTAGCCCCTCACCCCAAGTAAGCAACATCAAAGCAGGCGGTTACCTCTGAAAGAAATGACTTTAGAATACTTCCTCATAAGGTAATGGATACCCCAGAAGGCAACTACAAATGCTGCGCAAGGAGCATTAGGTTGAAATATGAAATGCATTCCGAGTGTTATTCATCTTTTCGTCCCAATAAATGAGAATTTAGCAAACGGAATTACGAGAAACCAACGGAGTGAGGTGGAAACGTGCTATTGACGGAAAATCCTTAACTGTTCACCGCACATTGGGCTCAGGAACAGGAGTAACGAACAAGCACACTAAAGGTGACTAGCTATCGGTTGTCAATTCGACAAGGCAGCCCGTTCAAGTTAACGATTGGAAATCATAGAATGAATTTGTTTTGCCTTCGGTGGGACGGCAGACTTATCGGGTCGGTTGAGTATAACATAGTCTCTTCATTTAGGAGAGTAGACAGTGATTCCAGCGCTGCATGCGATAAGGCATCAGGGTACCAACTAGTTGAACGTGAGAGCTATGTACGGCCTATGCGATTTTCACCGGTTGGGAAAAGAGGCACCCCTTGATTAGCTGATGCAGTGGATTTCAGTCAGCATCGCTAAACAAATCAACAACTTTCATTCTAATTAATTTGGATGGGGGATACAATCGAGGGCCAAATGAAAGTTATTGCCGTAATGCTCTCCAACTGAAAGCATGCCCCTCATGGACACCATATGGGTTCAGCAAGCTAACGCGATCTAACAGTCAGGATACCATGAATTTCCTTCCCAAGTAATTATTCACACAAGATCGATGATAGCTGATATTGGAGACGCACAAAAGGCAATTTCAGAAGAAAAAATTAACTGAAAAGTAACGGGCACGAAGAACAATATAAAGCTCGTGTTTCGGACAGACAATCCAAGCACTTCTTCGAGTTTCACAACCAACACACAATTAAACAGGTTATCACGAAGAGAAACTTATGCAACCCAGCAGACAGTTGAAGCATTTTACCCACTTGACTTCCACAAGCCCATGTCACATAGGTCGCGCATTTTCGATAAAGGAATATAGCGCTTCACACAACCTAGTCCGAAAACCCAGGACGGGTTGTGGGAACGAATGGGGGTTAGAGGTATTCCGCTTAGTTCTGATCGAAAGGCTTTTAGTTCAAATCCATCATTGACGTTTTATGCTTCTATCGGACACATGATAACGGTGCACCGAAAAACATACCGGCTCAAAGAGTTTACTTTTAATCTGATTTGGTGAACAATATAGCCAACTCACATGGAAACAGGCAGATGGATGAATCCCCGATTCCATGATGATGCCCTCTAATCCAATCATGATCCACATGTACCATGTGCTTCATATTCACTGGGGGAGAAATATGCGGAATCCCACCAAGACTACACCCCAAACGATTCTGCTGCATCGAATCTGACGACGACGGGGCAAGTGAGTCGGATGAACGTGTTGTACTTGGTGTTACTTGGGTCGATTCCGCGGTGTCCAAGTTGGCAAGTGAGCGTTGAGAACCTACAGAAGCCTTGGGTTCTTTTGTTATGGGAGCGTTAACCATCTGACCACCGCTTCTAGCTGGTACTTCACTCGAATTCGCACCCCAACGAAAAAACGTTCGAACAAAAGGTCGTTTCCTCGCCGTGGGGGGAGGAAGAGGCTTGAGTGATGATGTTGCTGGTGCGGGCCATTCTTTCAACTGGTTGGCAGCCAGCACGGCCAAAAGAGTGAATTGGTGCTGTGTACAAGTAAGAACAGAATTATCGATCGTTAAGTGGTGAATCACTAAACAAAAATAACAAAGCTAAACCTAAAAATATAATGGGTTAACCATGGTGGATAGGCGAACAGAGAACAGTGACAGTCGAGGTGGGGAAAACAAAACAAAGGGAGACGACCACACATCAGCCTGTGTTAGTAGAAAAGACCGCCTGACACTGGAGGCAAGAGGAGAAGCATAGAACAATCGAATCTACTTACTCCCAGCGTCCCCAACATGCGTGTGTAATTTTCCTCTTTCATGTCAATCTCCTGTTGCCTGGCCACAAGCTCTTGCCACTGCTGATCCAATGATTCCCAACCATGTTGAAGTAATTCCTTCTCTACCGTCAGATCGTCATCCACCATGGAAGTATGCTGACTGACATCCGTAATGCTAGACGAGAGGGTGGCCGCAGCAGCCTATGCAGAAGGCGGAAGGAAGTCAAAACAAAGAAAAAACAGAGACACGAGTGACCAGTCTACCAAATGCTAAATCAGTGCACAGCAGGAGACTCACGGGGTTTGCTAGTTAATTGCACTCAATACTTACGTACATATATAATTTACATAGACTGCTGTTCATTTTTTATTTGCTCCATTCCAAAGAAGACAGTAACTGTACACCTGAAAAAGTAGCACACTGCTCTGGAGAACTGCCAGGCTGCCCAAGCCTAGACAGGGGAAGTCGAGAGATAGGGCTCGGGTTCGAACCATGGACCTACCGGTCAGTAAATTCGCGCTCTAACCACTTGGGCCATCTCGCCCCCGCAAAATTTACGCTGAATTGTTTGTTTTTATGCAATTCATGGTTGCAGTGCAAACTTGGCCAAAATTTTATCGGAAACGCCTTTCCACAAAAATCACCAGCGAGTAGGCCAGACAAACGTTCTGAGTAAATCGCCGGAGTGACGGTGTCCCCAACCAGGATAGTCAACGGCATCCAGAGAATCCGTTGATCAGCAGGCCAGAAAGGCCTGGTTTGGCGAACTTCAAAAGAGATCCTACTTGTATAAGGAGTATATGCCACAAGAATAGTAAAACAGATAGAACTATCCGGGAGATTTACTAAAAAATAGAAGGCCGATGTTCTAGTTGCAAAGATCAAAAGAATCGAGTGATTTTATTGAAAAAAACAAGAGTACAGCTGAATTCCAAAGAAAGCCAATAATAAGTTAGACGTATGCACAAGGTTCACTTTGTTACATACGTGCAAATATTTCCTTCACACTAAACTTTGCCTAGAATTCGGGGCAGAAGGATAGTTGGAGGATCGTGGGGGGAAAGGTTTCTTTTTTCAGGAGAGCACCCGCGTACTGCGCGTCTTCATATTTCGGAGAAAAAACACGGAGCATTATGCTCTGGAGAAGAGTGCGTCGGGGGAAATTGGATGAGATGTAGCAAACACTACAGAAGGCAACGGTTCTTGATCAGTTGTCTGGGAAACATATTTTCCGTAGACTAATGCGCAGCCCATCAGTAGCAATAGTACCGATTGGAGGAAATTCGGACAGAGAGTATGCCGGTATCCCCTGGGAGATCCTGTGAACATCACACCAAAGCTTTTATCTGTGGTGTTCAGCTACCATGCGGCCCAACTGAAGCATATTATCAGTCTGTTCATGTCCAGACATGGGTAACTGAAATATCAGTTGCGGAGTTTAGGTTTTTACTCCCGAACATAATAGTAAAAATTTGAACTCGACAACTCACGAAAATGGGTGCGAGATTGACCGGAAGGTCCGTGATTCGAATCCGACCTCTGCCTCTTGACTTCCAATGGCTAGACTTGGGCAACCTGGCAGTACCCCAGCCCTCGTGCTTCCTTTTGCTGGCATGGCAGCTAGGCACCGAAAGGGTGCTACAGCTGAACGATTTATTTGTTTATTTTTACTTCCGAACATAGGAAAACAACCAGCATTTTCAGGTAACAAGAGCATAAGCGGAGCGATTGCAGCTAGTGTTAACCAACCGTCGACTACTCTAAAATCAAACGTGAAGAAACAATGTCGAATGTCCTTCGATCTGCTTCGAGATATTTAGTCGATGTTAGTTTCCGTTTCACCCGTATTTAACAACACCGTTTAGAGCAGTTCGTCAAACTTACAGACTGTACCCATCGACCATCAAACAACTTAGGGTGACGCGAAATTTGTCGTCAAACATGTTGGCAATTTTCAAGACATGAAACAGATAAAACTATGTTAATGAACGATATCATGACAGGGAAGGGTATTAAAGCCAAGGCACGCAAAACTCACTTCCTGCTCTTCTTGATGATAGGCTGCAATCGCATTACGCCAACCGGATTGAACACGAGCTAGCTCCTCAGCGTCCATGCTAAGGAATTCGCAGTAAGTGGAGCATTGAAGACGAGCGATTATTTCTTCAAACTTCGGTCTATCCATCGGCGTTGCGGACCAACAGTCTTGGTGTAAAGCAGTCGGGAAAAATCAAAAAATTAGAGTTGGGGGGGGGGGTCTGAAGCTTGCGATCTATGAATGCCAAAGAGTTTCAAATACGATGGTAACCAGTCGCGTTTTGTACCAAGTAATTTTAGCCATAGTTTAACGCAGAGGACATAACTGATAGTTTTTTATGATTCGACCGTTGTAGCTTCACTGGCCCAAAAATAGAAATCATTTGTTGGATATGGTGAAAACCACACTGAGCATGCCAGCATTACTCGCAAAGAATAGTTCATTTGCCCAACGAGTCACGCGTTAGTCATGCCCTTCTTAAGCTACAATGAAGATCATTCGGCAACTGAGTCTTGGATGTTAAATGTCTGAGAAACAATGCTACTGAATTAGAGTTAGGTAGGGTGGTGCATGAGAATTTCGGTGCCATTGTATTTAGTTTGTACCTATTTTCCCCATTGGTATGGATGGAGAGGACCCAGGGGTGGTCAGACCGTGAGCTGGCAACGAAGCATGAAAATTCTCACCAGTCAACTCAGTCATGTTGGTAACTGGTCCCTGGATGGGGACCCGTACAATGGTTACTGTCCCTCACAAATACGGCCATGTCGCGCAGCGAATGGCGATCATGCATCGACGCTACCGTCCTCACAACGTAGCACCCTCGTGCCTGCAATGGCGGATATAACGAGACTATTCAAAGTCAATGAACCGATCGGATCATTGACTCCAACATGTGGCTCTTACGCCCCCCTGCTGCTTACCTTCGGTGAACGAAGCTGTACAGCTGAAAACACTGTATTTCGCCTAATTGTATGTAGCTGAACCACTGACTAATTGAATGACTTTTTCTGCAATGACAGTCAATTAATTTCAATTTTGTTGTACACCATCATTCAGTTTTCTACTCACTCTCCGAAAAAATCAACTTATCACTTTGACTACGTTTGTGCAAAAAGGTTGGGTGTATAAATACGACGGTTATAAAGACAACACTTTTGCAAAAGTTGGAAAAGACAAAACGTACCGGAAAGCAAATCACTAAACAGTTCGGGGACATCGTCAGGAATGTGAAGTGTGTAGTTGTACATTCCGATGATGAATAGCAGTCGGGGCTGTTCGAAATGTCGGAATGGCGTTTCCAGAGTGAGTAACTCCCACAGCACAACACCGTAGGACCAGACATCGGAGTGAAAGGAAAAATTGCTCTGTGGAAGGAAATAATAACGAATGGCGTACATGATACGTCAGAGACCAAAGAGGGGGTGTTCACAAACTAAGATGTCATTCAAGTCATAAAGTAGATAAAATGCTGACAACACTGACAAGCTTCAAAGTTTAGTCGATGGGGCGCGAAACACGGAGACAAACAGACAGTTCAAGTAAAGTGTACAACGTGAAACTACAAAGGTTTCATCTAGGTATTCATTTTTCCCGGGACGGAATTATGTGAGAAACTTATCCGTATGAGCTGGAGTATGGGTAGCGTCATGACTTCGTTGTAATTCATCCTGTTTTTCTGAGCGGGTTGTCAGAAACGTCCAGTAACGACGGTGCGGCCAGGAGACTCGTAAGTCATCAATAGAAAAACTAACCATGAAGCGGATAGCTGGACAGAGTGCGAAAACTCAATTCAACGAAATCATACTGCTTTCGGGAAATACACTCATTTGTAAATGAGAGAGACTCAACTGAATCTCTCGTTTAGAGTATTCTACAACTGAAAGTGCTGCACACAGGCCACCTCATGTTTCAGTTGGCACGATATTCGAGATATCGCAGCATATTTTCATAAAGAAAACTGCTATTTTGGCCAGTCGTCCAACTACCAAAGAATCGCATTGTCCATGACCAGCCTAATCGACGACTTCAAGCAAAGGGACCACGGACTAGTAGAAATGTAAGAAACCAGAGTAACCGAGTGAAACCGATGGCTTCCAACATAGAAGTCAAAAGGAAACTTAAAATCAATAGTTCCATGAGTGCCGTGCGAAAAGTGATCTAGTTTGCAATGGTGCTGGGGAACTGTAGTATCCACTCTGAATATGCAGAGTGGATATCATTTAGTTCTATCTGGAAAGGCTACTTAAGCTGGCCAAATGAACCTCGACTAACCCCAGCGAAAGCAATCTTAACACTTGCAGTCTTTGTTCGAGTAGCGTTATATCGGTTAAATGATGTACGACAGACACTCACTATTTGCAAACAGCGCCTACTCAAGCAGCGAATTAGTGAATTGGTCATGTTCGATGGGAATCAGGATGGGCTACAAACCACATGCCTGAATGCTTTCTGATACTGTTGAACAACTTCCGTGAACAAGACGGCGTGACATGGAGGGCATCCAACCATTCCACGCCGCTTACCTGGCATACAGCTAGTATGGGCTTCACAGTATCCTGTTTACTTACCAACCAGCAGCATCGAACCTCAAGCAGAAGGGCATCGTTTCATATTAAGGTTGGTGCTAAAATGATCGGCGGTTTACCTGGTGGTTTACCATTCAAAGATTGAGACTATGCTCAAGTGAGTGAAGCCTAACAAAAGGAATATTCAGTGTAGATCGCGTCAGTTTGGTTGTCCAAGTAGTTGGTCTTGCACTGGTTCGATGAAATGTCTGGAATTTTCGGAATGAATGTCGACTTCCAAAAACACGCAATTTTCCACCATCTGTCAGAGTTATGGACTAACCAGAAGAGTCGCTCTAGGACAGGAGGAAGACAGTGAGGTGGATGTAGGAATTCTAGGAATCTTTCGACTACGGAAAAGTTCACGACCAAGACTGTCCAGCAGAACCGCTTACATGACTCAAAGTGTGACAGTTTCCACGGATTAATTCGGACGTGTCCGAAACGCACTGGTGGAGAGGTACCGCCATACTTGATCCTGCCTAGGCCAAGGCCACCTGACATTATCTCAGCCCTCGTGCTTCTGTAGCGTGGCAGCGTGCACCGAAAAGGGTATTACAGCCTAACTATCATTATTATTATCGCAAGTCCAGCACAATTAAAAACACACTGCTGATGAAGTCTAAAAAATAGCGAAACTCGAGTTCAATGATTCGCCCCTTCGGGATGGACTAAGCAGAATGTTCGTCTTCAAACAAGAGTTGAAAATTTAGATAGCCATTTAAACTGGGTTTGGGAGTGCAGTGAAAGCTAGAGATACACAAGCCACATCAGTTAGGGGACATGAAACATTGTGATTCTGTTGGACGGCCTGTTTCGCACCGGCAAAAAAGAACGGAACAGTTGTGCAAAACTGTCATATCACGTGACAGTACCTTTTGCTAGTCCAAATGCGGTTGTGTCAACCACAGCTGTGCTATGTTCAAGCAGGTTTGGAAATCTAAGTAAATCTACAAAGTTCAACATATCCCGGGGGTGTTCAGATTGCGATTCATACGATTGACAGGCTAATTCTGTTGCCAAATAAATGTGGAAATTAATCAGTAGAGGACCTAATGAAATCACATTAATGTATTTCAAACAAGTGGCAACCGACTGTATTTATTTTGTGGTGAATGAAATAACTGGTAACAGGAGATATCATTGGTCGTGCATGCGGACAGAGAGCGCCTGAGACTAGCTTATGTGAGGTCATGATGGTGCAATTTGCGGGAATGATATAACCCAGCGAAAGGAGATCGAAAGTACCTGGTTCTATGAAGTCTACAAGTGAAATAAGAGACCTTAGGGTTGCGGAATGCCGTTGGTTAGTCTGGCTTAGTTGAAGTCAGCTGACTACAAAAATACGGTCTGGGCATCATTCGCCTTTGTAGCTCATTCCTAACCGACCACACCCCGAAAACCACTTCGAGGACCTCAAACAGGTATTTCAATACGAGCCGTTGCTGAGTGAAATAAACCGAAATAAAAGTGTGATGAATTCAAAGGATCTGTTCGAAGCTGTATCTTTCAACGTTCATCCTTCAGTCGATGTACATTATGGGTCCAAAACAAAACTTCAGCCCAGCGACCTACATAAGGTCGCTTGGAAAAGACACAAATAATTGGAGGTTCACTTGTGTGTCCACTGATCATGAGGCAGTGACCCGGGGTATCTGTGACATTAGCTCCAGTCTTTCAATGGGATAAATGTCAATGAAAAGTTATCTCACTGCTGTACATCTGATCGACTGGATCGAAGGGGGTACACAGTTGCGCCACCACATGCTACAAGTTGTAAAGTAGAATTCCTGTTATGATTTATCGAGATTGAATTAGTCATCAAGGAATTTGGACGGGGCGATTCTGTCCATCGAATGAAACCAGACGACCGAATAACGACGAAAATGGTAAGCACGACCAACCATGATTTGGAATGGAATTTGGAGCCTACCGTTATTTGCCGGTCAACTGCAGGGAGTCGGGTTCTGTGGACAACAACCGCCTGTGATCAGTACTGTCATTACCATAGTTCATCCATCGCGAAGGGATTGTATCGTGACAAGTTGTGTACTCCTACTCAGGTGTACTGGCTGACCGAGAGATAGAAGTCTGACAAGCAGTCTCCTGGTCTTTCAGGCATTGGAACTTGTTCACTAAATGCTGGGATACTACAGTAGTTTCACACCGACCAACGTTGTCCTGCAGTCAAGCTTACGAACTTGGGAAGCTCGGCGAACAGACCAACAACCAAGCAACGCATTCGAGCCACCTATATTCCACAACGTTGCCAACTGCAAACGGCCTCCTCGGACTACATCCGGGATCAGATAACCATAGGTGAACATGACGCCGGAAACAATGTTTGCTACGCTTATGAACCACCAAACCTTGAAACAGCCACTACCACACTTTGATGCGAAATGCTTCATCTTTTCGGCTTCATCTTTTCTTAGATGGTCGATTAGAGGTGAACTCAAATGTGGCCTACGTGTGGAGAGAGGAGTGGTGAAAACAGACAGCTCAAAAAATGGAGGAGGCGTAGTTGGGAATGCCCAGAGCTCCACTCTACGACATCTACTTGTCAAAAGCGGCCTTGTGTAGAATCATCGAAGAAAAACCACTAACCAGAGGCCCGTGTGCGAAATCTACATTTTTATATCTCTTGAAAGGGAAGTACTACGGTCGACAGCAACTGTTGAAAGGGTGCGCGAGTAAAGGACGACCACGGTAGTGTCTGCGAAGTAATTAGGTGTAAGAGGAGCTGAACCACTGCAAAATCACACCCACAAATAAAAAAATCAACCAATGCCAGAAAAGCAAGACAACATACCTGACGGCACACTTCCGGTGCTGCGTAGGCCACTGTACCCAGTTTGGATTGCTGCGAGACCAACTCACTCGATCGACAGGCCATACCGAAATCGGTGATGATGAGTGTACAATTGCGCAGATCACTCTCCCCATACGGTTTCGCCAGAGGTTCCCGAATGAGGACTGAATGTGGAAATATGTGAAGCGTTGGGTTCAACGCATGTCAGTGACGTATACATACAGTCTATGTATTAAAACTAAATTTTACGGATTTCGATAGTAAACGTCCAAAACTGTCACCCAAAGATTTTTGTTTCCCATGACTCCTTCGAAGCTCAATCGCATAAACGTGTCTTCACATTTGTGACCCATTCACACATAGCTTGATCAGTAAAACATGAGAAAGTACTCATTTCTCGTCAAGTTTGCTCTCCTGCTCAGAGAGTAGTGAGGTCGAGAGTGAATGGTTGTTGCTCTAAATTCCACAGCTGCACACAGGAGAGTCTGTATTCCCAAGATACTTCTAATCGTCACCAGTGGTAGTGCCGTATAACCTCAAACATACCCCGGAGGTTGTTGAAACTATTGAGTTTCTCGTGTAAGCAGGCTGCACAATGCATCCGGTGTGTCAGAGGCATTCGCATAAAAAGCACAAACTCAGGAGCTGCGTGACAAAATCGAACGTGGAAAAGACAATCAGTGAGGAGGAAGAACAGGAAGCTCACTGATCCAACTTCTACTAATCATCATCAGCATCATCATCCTCAGAGGCAGCAACATTTGTGTTGACACTAATGCTTCCCTGCCGTACAACCACAATGCTTATTTCATTATACTTGGAAAAAGAAAGGAAACTGGGAGGTACCTAGTGTTGGTGTATTCTGTGGTGCCCATATCTTCAAGCGTTCAATCAGAATGAAATCAACAGCAAGAAAGTCAACAACATCGATTATTTGCCATATCTTGCCATTTCTCCAACCAGGCTTAGGGGGGATCCCGGAGACCTGAATCGTACCAAAAAAACTTAAATGCTTCGTAATCCCTTTCATACCCTTCTACCAAATGAAAAGATGAACTGGTATACACAAAAATGTCCTCAATAATATCCTCAGTCTGGTTCTGTTACGGAGTAAACCACGACTAAGTTACAATATTTACTGGCCCATCAAATGCAACGGAAACCGAGACCAGCTGCTCAAACAGGTGAGATCTACCCGCACATACAAAAGAGCCATTGTTGTTTACTTTACTGATCCCTGAGTGGGAATTCACCGAGCTGCTCTGAAATCAACTTATATCCGACCTGACTCCCGCTGAGACGACGGGGGCACCAAAAAAGCAAATTTAATTGATCCTCTCGATGCTAAATCAGGACTACTTGTAGCAAGTGTCACTTTGGTCATCCATTAACAAAAACATCCAAACGGGTGGGCAAAACATTCAGTAACTGATTCAACCTTGGCTAATGCTAAGGGATAAAATACTTCTAAGACAACGATATACGGCATGGTTCCCTCTGTCTGGCCCACCGATGAAAACCTGAGTTTGGGGGACGGCAAGGAGATATGCAATTAATGGTTCTGGTTCCCTTTTTGAATAAAAAAAAGTCCCTTCACAGTCCTCCTCACCAAAGGAAACAAAGGAGTCAAGAACCGTGAAACGCTATAATGGAACGAAATATTTGCTTTTATAAAAGGAACTACTCACAAGGTTGCCGGAAACTCTTCGACAACCCACGACTGGTTTCGTCCCTCTTGGGGCTCATCACGCAGGCGCAATCCCCGAGTTTCCGTCAACCTTACGTTCTACTTGAACTAAAACTGAACTGAATGCGACAAATACACTCATTTGCAAATTGATTTGGTACTCGCAAGAGACTCAACTGAATCTCTTGGTTATGATATTCTTCAACCGAATGTGCTGCCCACAGGCTGTCTCATGTTTCAGTTTGCACGATATTCGAGATACCGCAGTATATTTTCATAAAGCAAACTATCCACAAGGTTGCTGAAAGCTCTTCGACCAGTTTCGCCGTTCTTAGGGCTCATCACGTAGGCGTAGTCCGAAATTGATTTGCAAATGGGTGTATTTCTTGGAAGATTTGTTGCATCATGATGGGACACCATTCACAAGGTCGTTGAAGACCATTCAGGGGCACGACCGGTTTCGTCCTTCATGACACTCATCAGATAGAACGTGGTCCCCTATGTTCTACCTGAAACAAAAATTGTATGCGATTCCCCTACCTGATGACCCCGAAGGGCAGAAATGGTCTGGAACAGTCTAAGGGTTTTCAGCGACCATCAGTAGCGCGTTCTCTTCATGAAAATATACTGCGAATATCACACCAACTGAAACGTGAGGCGGTCGTTTTTAAGCACAGTCAATCGAAGAATAACCAGAATTCTGTTAGCAATAGTTAACGTATTCACTTGAAACAGAAGCTTTGAAACAAGTGTACCTCACGAAATTCGTTAAAATTGGGTAAGACATGACTTTGATGGAAATCCGGGGACTGCGGTTACCTGATGAGCCTGAAGATGGGTGAGACTGTCAAAATGTTTTCGGTAGCCCTATGAGTAATAGTCCCGCAAGAAAATGTACTGCGATACCTCGAACATCATACCAACTGGTTTCATTGTTATAGGCTTAATCATGCCAACAAAATGTGCGGAACTCCGAATGGTCATGAATGCATGGACAAATGCACCACGCGAACATCAAGTGGCAGGTGCTGAATCAAACTCAACTGGTGAAGTGCAAAATTTAAGCGGAGAGTCATCCAAACAGATGTGGGATTTTCAGGGTTCCGGAAACTGCCTTCAAAATACACGACATGATTCTGGCAGATTGTCGAGCACACAATTTCAAAATACTGGAGGGGAAATTTAAACATCCAAGGCTTGTCGGATTCATAACCTACGAACAGCTGGATTCAAGAAAGATGTCAGTGAATTAGACTCCTAAAAGCTTGAATACTGAAGAGAAGCGACGTCGAGTAAACATTTCTGAGTCGATATTGCAGTAATTCCACAGACACGGTTTTAATTTTCTAGGACGAGTATTTATGAAACAGAGTTGAAATAAAGTGACGCTGAGATAAAGCAACAGTTAATGCGAAGATGAGCCCCTGGTTCTCCAGGATCAAGGAAAGTTAAGAATAAGAATTCAGCAGCAATGGTCATAGTTGCAGTGTTTTCGAGTCAAGGTGATGCAATGACAACCTCCAGGAGGGACGAAGCGATAATGCAGAATGTTGTTGAAGACGATGAAAAAAACAGTAGGGATTCCAGGAAGGGGTTTCTCAATAGAATACGAGGCACCTCCTCGCAAAGCTCACAAAACTTTGGACGCTTTGACGAAGCTGGCCTCTGACTGCATACACCATCCACCGTCCTCAACGATCTTGATACAGAGCTGACTGCGCCAGCAGAGCAGTATTTCAGCAAATACACATCGGAGAGTTACAAATGCTACAAACAAGATGTACCAAGTATATCAACCTACGAGTTGAATACGTGGAATAACCTGTAAGTTTTGTAATTTCACCTCATTCTCTTTTCGGTCAGTCCAAGAACTTCCTCACAGAATGAATTACCACACACTTGAAATGTATGATAAGCTCGATGAAATGTTGCTTATCCTTCCCAGCACTGCAACCCCTAAAACAGAACCTTCCGAGATAGGTCAACTTCCCATTTCGCCTGGGAATAAAACATGGGCATACATAGACCTTCACAACAGATAAGGTCGATGACTAGTGGATCAATGTAAACCTGAAGAATATCCTTCTGAGACGCAAAAGCTCCTAGAAGCCACCGACCGTTAGTTAAAGTAGAAATGGCATTGGGTGACAAGCCGAGATTCTTAAATTCAAAGGTCTGACATTGCTTGCTTGACACGAAGAAATTGGGTTACCTCGTAAGTTGGTGGTATCAATAGTTGTCGCGACGCGTACACCGACGAATCGTGATTAGAACATACAAGCAGATACAACACAGAATAATGAGTAGAAATAGCAGATATCACGAGTTTGAATCCGGTCTCCGTCTTTTCCATTCGCACTATGTGTACCATGTGTGTAACCCAATCAAACAATGGACGACCAGAAATATGTTAAAAGTTAGTAAAGGGCAATGATATCCTCTCGAAGGTAGGACTACTGTGAAACATAAGGTGACGAGATAAACATGTAGGTTGTTCTTTCTGTTCTAAATAGGCCCTATCTGTTTACACCTGACGGCGGTTCAATAACAGCCTTGGCGGAGTGAGGAAAGCAGATCCCTCGATAACAGATGATCATCGGTTGGTGGACCAAAAAGTTGACATAACAACCCATTGCACATAGGCTGAGATTGTGGTGAGGGAATTTCATCGGCACCATATTTCTGCTTCTTCCCATTCCACCAAGTCACTCCGCGCCTATTCGAGACTCTACTGACGTCTATCACAGTTGCTCGGCGCTCCCGAACAGCGCTTAGGCCAGGTTTGATAAAAGACATCGAAGTCGGTGCTCTCAACTCCTCGAAAATGGTGAAGAAGATGAACAGACACACTTATTTACAAGAATGCACCTTAACCATTGGTACGCGGCTTGGTCAGACGGATGTTCTTCCTTTAAACAACAACCGGTTAGGAGTCATATGACCCAAACAGGGAAGTTTGAGCTGCCGCAACAGACCGGCTCCATAAGGCCTCCCAAGGAAGAAACACTCGCGTCCGGGAGATGATTTTGGTTGCAACCCTTTCTTAGAGGCATTTACGGGATCTCAGATGGTTAACGCGTTCTCTTTGAGAAATGAAGTGAAATTAGACGAACGCCACTGGCCCACATTTACCAGAAGATCGTCACGTTGAACAACTGATTTTAGAAGCAATGTGGTTTTACTTTACCACCATACAATATTTTTTCCGGGCAAGGCCAGAATGGGTGCACACCACGATTCTTGAGAGCATGTCGGAAGCGGAAGAGATTAAAGTGGGATGCAAGATGTAGCCATAGATGCAAAGCCCACATTTTTTCTGCCTTTCCCATACTAACGTTCGGTGCAAATTATCCGTTTCGGTGGTCCTTATTTTTAGTTAGCTACGTGACGTAATAATGGCATGTTCACAACGTTCCAGCTGACAGCCGCTGCACAGGTTTACCGTGTTGCATTCGTAGAGCTCAATCAAGGCTATGT